TCCCAAACCATTTACAGAACCAGCTACAAGGCAAAGCATACCTGGTAGAGAGAGAATTCAAATGATACGTATCCTGAATGGTACTCTTGATCTGACTGGGTATGTGAAACAAAAGGGGGAAAAGTAACCTTGTATTTTCTCCATCTTGCTGAAAGAGCTAACATTTCACTTTCCAGTACACTGGGAAAATGTTGTGAAGGACAAGCAGAGTTGGTTCAAGCTGAAGTGTAAGAGGACCCTCACTACCAGCAGATGTTAGAAGGAAGGGGAGAGTTAATGTGTCTTACTTAAATGTGAATTGTTTTCCTGTTAATTCTATTTTGTCCAAGTATATTCTTTCCGAATCTTTTTTGTTTAGGTGGATGCATGTATCCAGAAAACAAAGGTTGTGATGACTATTTTGTCCCAAATTCTTCCACTTTGCTACAAGTTACTTAGAAAGGTGAGTTAATGATCCATATTGAAGAATGGGGACGAATGCAACACCCTGGCTGTGTCCAAACGTGTGGACATTTGGTTCCCTGGGGACAATTAGTGATGGCACACCTTGTGCTGCCACTAGTTGCCCCAGGGAATGCCCGTACCATGCATGCTCTGGCACGTGGCAAGCTACCCCAGGTGGGGTAGGGGAGGCTGGGGCCAGCACTAGGCTGACCCCAGCAATGTTACCCGGGTCCTGGGGACCTCCAAAGACTGCAGCCATGTCAGTACTGCCACACACACCCTGGCAGGCAGTGGGTAGCATGTGCTGCTGCTGTGTGCGCCACTATTTTTTCTGAACACCTTCAAGATGAAACTGGATGCTTATCTTGCTGGGATCCTATGACCCCAGCTGACTTCCTGCCCTTTGGGCAGGGGGCTGGACTCGATGATCTTCCGAGGTCCCTTCCACCCTAATGTCTATGAAACCTATGAAACCCTCTGCATTGCTCCCCTGCAGCACAGAGAACAACTGAATGTGCGGTATGTGGCAGAGCAGACATGTATGCTGTGCCACATACTGCACAGACATGCTCGTCTGGACTCAGCCCCCAAGTGCTTTTTCTAATATTTTTTTTTTCTTGCTACAGCAAAAAGCAGGAAATGGCTATCTCCAATCTCCTCCCCCATGGAGGGAGAACAGAATTCAAACAAAAATAAATGGAGAGAGTCTGGAAGGGAAAACAGAAGCCTTTGGAGTCATATCCTTGGAACATCATGTAGCAAATCTGACATTTTTAGAGAGTAAATAATTCTAGCACTTAGGAATGTAGGAATTCCTCATGGAAATTATAAACTTGCTAAGTTTCAAATTTGCTTTCTTTTGTGAAAGGTAAAATCACGATAAATGAATTCAAACTGTTGTGACCTTTTCACATCTAATAGATGTCATGGTACTTAACAGTAGTATTTGCAACATCGGTTAGTTTAATTGCTGTGTATTTTTATAGTGTGGGTATGTTTCCTTTTGCTCACCATTAATACTGCTATTTTTGTAAGAAATACTTGTGAATGTCTTAATGAAAGTTTCAACCCAAAGATGCTGCTAACGGACATTTATGCAGAGAAACTAAATAGCTCTAAATATGCTATGTGTAACTAGTACTGTTAAAGTTTGTCAGTATCATCTCTGGCCTGTTTCAGTCTATATATTTGCTAAAGCAGCATCAGGAAGATAGTCTGGAAGGTTTTGGCCTAAAGCACTGAGAAATGTTGTTATCTTCATTATGTGGTATTTCTGCAATGAAGACCTATTGTAAAACCTCACCCTGTTTCTGCAGTACATCTGTCAACTTATATTTAGGTTAGATAATTGATTTAAATGTCAACAATTCTTGTGTTATCAATCTGAGTCAATGAAGCATCTATCCTCCCCAGAAAACTGCATTTCCAGTGGATTAATACTTTAGTCAAGAATTAATTTTCTTTCTTTGTAATCTCTTTTTCTATAGATAGCAGCCCTCATGGCTTCCTTTGATTTTATCAAAACGTAATGAATAGAATTTGAAATGCAAGTGAAAATTACTGAAGTTTTAATTTCGAATGTATGCTATATTTAAGTTCCCTAAAGTAGATTTTTACAATGCAACATTTAGAATTCTATTTAAAACTATTTTGGAGTCATGTAATGCCCTTTGTGCAATGATTGGACATCATTTCTACCAAAGCACCCTGTCACCACCTGTGAAAACACATTTAAATAAATGTGGGGAATGTATGCTTACTCTACATACACGGATGGCAGTGACTATTTTGCTGGTCCTGTATTTCAAAACTCATTGTTTGATCTCATTTCTTACACATAGTTTTACTGTACTTGTTTTATTACTTTGAGGGCTGTAGGGTATCCTGGAGGTTCAAGACCCAAGTACATTTAATTCTTACAGGACTACCTGTTACAGCTACTCTCTGCAAGTCCTTTGCTGGCAATGGACATTACATTTAAGAAAGTTTGATTTTATAGCATTAAAGAAACAATTAAACCCTTTGTGTGATTGAGACCAGTCTCTCCCATTCTCAATCTGTCTGATCCCTTTTAAACCTGGATAGTAAACTTAGGTAGACTTTTGCTGATGGATTAAAGAAATTAAGGAACAAGTTTTATTTACACTGAACCCTCAGAACAAACACAGACTACATCATGGAATTTTTTTTAGTTTTTTGTCGCTGTACAAAATTGAAGCGTTGAACAAAGTTGTTGAAATGCATTTAAAAAAATAATTCTGCTTAAAGAAACTGACATTTTCCATCTCTAGCATTAGGTCTGTGCAACCTCTAGCTTTTCATGTTAACAAGTGTCAGCTCATTTCAATATGGGATATATTGGAAGTGGACTTTCGTACATTACAAATGTTACAGAACATAAATCGGACATCTGTGCGTTCAGGTAGAAATAACTTCAGGAGCTGGAATTAAGACGATGCAACAAGATTCCTTCATATTCCTCCTGTGTCAAAAGTCCCTGAGTTACGATCTTGCTTTCTTCAAATTTTGGCAGTACCACTGCAATGTACCCTTCAGTAGATGGCTAGAGAATAAGAGTAAGATTTGATACAGGGATAAAAGTAAGGAAAAAATAAAAAGCAAACAAAATATTTACCTTCTCTTGCAGAATAGCTGGATTATTAAGAAGGTTTTCATTTACTTCCATCAACCGACCTCTTATACAACTGCAAAGAAGTTCAGTGTGCTTAGCATACAAAGAATGTGCTTAGCAGACAGAAGTACAAGAAAGAAGCTACTCACCTATGTATAGTATATTCTTCTCCATCTGAACAAGATATCCTACACAGAGGGGCAAGTGCTGTTAAAAACTGGGCACCCTACAACAGGAAATAAAGCTGTGAATTTAAAGGCAATGAAAAAGTACAATTCCTGAATAGGGAAAAAAGCATGGATTTCTTAGGGTGATCTCTTACTGGACCAGCTGTGTAGTTGAGATAGTTAGAAAAGCTTTTGAATACATGACCCATCTCAACTACATACTGTACTTAGCTAAATCTAAGACTACCCTGAATTTGATGCTTCCTCCCCTTCTCCAATAATTATATTCTATACATAAAACATTTTCTATCGTTTTCCATGTATAGAATCTGATTATTGGAGTGTTGTCTTAAGTTCATTCCCCATCACTGCAGTGAGGATGACAGTGTGGGGGGGGAGCAATGGAGGTGTGGACACCTTATGTCTCTCCCCCCACACCACAAGCACATAGCACCCCTGCTTGCAGCCTCAGGCCCTGTGCCCCCTTCCCCTTTTGCATCCTCTCTCCCCTCCCCTGCTTACCCTAGCTCTGCATCAGTAGGCTTAGTCTCCACTCCAGGCTTGAACAAGGATTGTATGTAGACTGGCTCTTAACGATTGTTGAGACATGCTTGCAATTGAGTTAGGAGCCAAACTACACTTCACTGAAGGAATCTGCACTGATTTGAAGGGCCTATTTTGCTGGTCTTAAAATCTGGTTCTGATCCACATACTTTAAGCTACTGAAATGCATGTCCACAGGGTCTTGTCCACTGGTTTAAATACATACACTTGAAATCACACCTCCAGCCTATTTAACTGTGTTAAATAACCCCTAAGCTGGTGGTTCTCCAGGCATCTCCCAGAAACAGAGGTACTCCAGGCAGGTGGAACAGTCCTGTCTGCCTGTTTTTGGGAGGTCTGAACCAGGGGAGGCTGTGGCAAGAACAGGTGTTACATCTCAAAAAAGGATAGAGAAGAACTAGAGATCTAGAGAAGAACAACAAGGATGATTAGTGATATGGAGGGGCTTCCACATGAGGAGACTAAAGAGGCTAGACCTATTCGGTTTAGAAAGGAGACACTTGAGGGGGGAGGCATTATACTAAATTGTGGAGAGGAAGTAAGTAGGGATTTATTATTTACTCCCTGTCACAATAGAAGAACTAGGGCTCACAAAATAAAACAATGTGGAACTCATTGCCACCAGATGCTGTGGAAGCTGACAGTTCAGCCAGATTCAAAACAGGATTGGACAAATTCTTGGAGGAAACGGGCATCAGCAGTTATTGAGCATGGGAGTTAGGGATACAGCCTCTGAATTAGAACTTCCTAGGCCCTAAATGCTGGAGGCTGCCAGTGGGAGAGGAAGAGGGGAGAAACCCTGTTCACTCCCTTTCAGCATCTGCTCTGACACAGAACACTGGGCAAAACGGACCTATGGTCTGAGCCAGTAAGTGGCAGTTCTTATGGTACTGCTGTGTGCTTTAAGGGTTATCTGATCATCCTAATGTAGGCAGGTACGCATGCTCATGCCTCAGTCCTTCCTGGTCTAGCTAGGCACAAGGCACATGGAGCAGTTTCACCTTGCAATGGCAGCAACAGCCCTGCTTGCAAACCAGTTGGATAAGCTGAGGAAGCACAACAGTAGTTCTCAACCCAGGTGCCATCCCATTAAAGTTACAGAGGAGCACCCTGACTTGAGAAAGGTTAAAAACCATTACCAGAAGCTTATTTTATGCCCTCTTCAAAAGAGCTGTTGCTCTTACCCTTAAGTCTTAACATCTCTGCAAAAGAGTCTTTTAATGTTTGATACTATCTATTTAAAAAATATGCAAAGGCCCCTCTTCAAGCTTTGTGTTCATGACAGAAAATTAACAGCGTTATATAACCCTGTTCAGAACAATTAAACAACAGGGTGCTTAAAATACCTGCAGTAAACTCCTACACTAATTATCCTAAATGCAGTACCCCTGGCAGCCCTAAAGCAGATGGTTAACAATGGTAGGAAGCATGAGGGATTGCTGCCCTGGAAAGGAACTAGTATTAAAGTGTTAAGGGAGGCACTTCAGAGTTAACTGGAATGTAAACAGACAAACTGGTCAAAAAAGAAAAAAAAAAAAGACATACCCGCTTTGACTTCCCAGAGACCTTATTTTGAAGTCTGCTACAGTGAGCAGTAACTTGGTAATTAATATTCTTAATAGTTTTTCCCTTTTGAAGAACAGGATGAGATTCTGCTAGAGTGATGACACAGATTCTGCAAGGAAATCATAACAATTATATACTAGCCTTAAGCATCCCTTTAATAATGAGTACATTTTTAACTCTTATACTGAGGCTTTGTGGCAAGGTGCATTTTCTTGCTTCCCCACATGAATTCACCCGCAGCCTTCTCACTTAAGCTTGGATAGGCTTAGATAGCCCTTCAGGGTACATCCAGACAAGTGTGCATGTATGCTTCCCCAGGAACAAACAGCAGAGAGACACAGTGATGCTGCTGCTTGTCCCCAGGGAACACCCCTGCACATGTACTTTGGCACACAGCAAGTTGCCCCCGGATGGGGTAGGAGAGGCTGGGGCCAGCACCTGGGCTGGCCCCAGTGGCCTTAACTGGGGTCCTTGGGGCCTCCCAGGTCTGCAGTGGCAGCAATCTGGGCACATGGAGCCTGGCTGGCAGCAGTGAGTGGTTTTGGCCAGCCAAGCTCTAGTTTCTCGTGGTACAAGCTGCAGCCACATGCACTGCCCCACTTTTGTTTTTTTTAAACCTTTTTGTTTTTTGTTTAGATACCAGAACTTCCCGGTATCTAATTTTGGCTCCACATTTCAAATATGCGGCAGAGAACCTCTTCACTTGCACCACGTGCATTTTGCAGCACCTCAAAAGCCTTTGAGATGCCACAAAGTACATGTGCGTACTCATCTGGATGAACCCTCAGGATCTGCCCACAACTCTCTAAGAAATAGGAAATAGCTCCACTTAGTGCAGCAAAACAAACTACAAGATGTTATTTTAAAATTCCAATAGCAGGGCCAAATTCAATTCTCCCTCTTATACGTGCAATTAATTTGAACATCTTGGTTTTGTGGTATATCCAAGGTCAGGATAGGACCTGCATAAACTGTTATTTTTGTTACATAAGCCCCAAAAACAAAAAACCTTTATTTTCAGATTCCATAGTAAAATGGCAACACAGTTGAGCAAATCTTAAACAGAAGCCAAAAAGGAAATCTCCCAGGCTGTTTAATAGTAAACTAGCTCCACAGTTAGCGGTTCCTCAGACGACAGATGCTGCCGCTATGAATTATTTCCTTGTTTTAAATGTTAACAATTTATTTAGAAAGGATGACAGTTTAAGGCCAGCAGCCTCCCAGTTTAAAAAGAAAGAGGTGAGCACCAAAATAAGTACAGTAAAAACAAAGTGGCATTACAAAAATTAAGGCTTTTTTGGACTTGGTGTACACTCCTGGTGTGAAATGATACATCAAGGCATAACCATTATCACAAAATGTGCACATACCAACACGAATTGGGTATATAGATTGAAACCTAAAAGGTACCCACCCTGTACCTACCTCCTTTCCCACAAAACTCTACATGTACTAAGCAATGTCTTGTGTATTATACAAAAGTTGCTAACAACTTCATTTTGATACAGAATTATGCTCATTGAAAAAAGTATATAACCCTTACACTTTCAAAGACAAATATGAATCTTGTGTACGCCAGTAGAGTAGCACTTACTTGACTCCCAAAGAAATCCAAAGTAAAGGATGTGTTCATGGCCCAGAGCCATTACTTCAGTGTCAGCAACCCTAGAAGTTGTTTTCCCAATCTGCCAGCAAAAAAGTTGGTATTTTGAGCATAGGATTTACATCCATAGCCAGATACCTACTGTTTAATTACTGGTCTTCCTACCATGCCCCAACCTCTTACTGCTTTCTCCACAAAAGGAAGATGAAGCATAGTGTGTTTTTCCTCTGCTGCTCCAGAGAATAAGGAGGGTGAGCAGCCTTGGTTGGGCAAGTGGAGCTTCTTGGAGGAACAGCCGAGGCTCAAGGCCCCAGTGAGATGAGATCCTAAACTAGAGCCAGGTGTAAGGAGATTCGATGTGGGTCACCTAGACATCATCAGAACCGAGACCTGAAGATGACAGGATGGCTGCTGAAAGAGAACACAACTGAAGACCCTTCTTAAAAGTAGTTCAGGGTTACACACAGCATTTTCAAATACAAGATGGGACTCTGTGAGCAGTAGAGGGAGTGAAGGGAATTCCAGAGTGATACAAGCTAATGTCATACACTCAAGGTGCTGCTATTACAGAGCCTCCAAGCATGAAAGCAACATTACAGGGAATTAGAGGGGGCCATAAAGAAGGCATCTCTATTTATGGAACGAGTGCTTGTATTCTTTCAGTGGTGTTGGTTATAGCTATGTTGGTTAAGGTTCTTTGGGTAAATGTGATACCTTTTACTAGATTCTTATCTTCTTTATTTAGTTGGTATAATAAAAGATATTATAATCTTTTAAAAGATGGTCTAATAAAAGATGGTAATTAAAAGATGGTCTAATAAAAGATATTACATTTACCCAAAGAACCTTGTCTGCCTATGTACTCTTTCACACACTTAAATGCGCTTTGTAATGTCAGGGTGTCCTGTAAATGAACTGAGCTAATGCATGAATCCCACAGAGACGATAAGAGGCCATGTCATAAGGATGTAAGCAGGTTCATCTTAATACCTGGACTGAATAAGCTTAAAAAAGAAAACCAGGCAGGAAAAAAGAAAAAGTCCACACACACCATGTGTCAACAGAAAACACCAAATAGAGTTTGTCTCCTGACATTACCAGAAGGCAAACATTAAGATAATTGAAATAGGGAATGCCAAAACAACAAGACTATTGAGGTTATCAGTGTAACAATTGTCAGTGCTGGAGAGAAATGACAGCTCAACAAAATAAGCATCGCAGCTAGAGGGGTCCAAAGACACCAGTGCTGGAGGGAGCTATTTAACAGACATCAGAGAAACCAAAATCTGAACAACAGAGAATCTCCATTTCTCACTGCATGCAGCTAAGCATTAAATCAAAATACGATGGGGATTCAGCCTTGGCAGCTGGTCTCAAAATAAGGCTGTCTGCTGATGCTTCAAATGGCATCCATTTGTGAGAGGAAAGCAGAGATCCAGGATTACAAACACAGGTTTTTGAGAATAATCATTTTTCAAAGTGCTTTGGCAACGCAAAATAAGCCCAGCTAGTACAGAAGTCAGTAAAAAAAAAATATTTAATAGATAACTATAGACAGCATGTACACGTGGTATTAGATAAGAGGAGAGGATTATAACTTCCTGCTGGACTTATTTGCTTCCACTGGCAAGAGTAAATTGAACCAAATACGGTCAGACAAGGCAGGGTAATGTGGTACCTTGTTATGAGCTTCTGCAACCTGCTTCATCAGATGCTTATGAATGGACTTGCAAAAAGCAGGGAAAAGTTTTCAACTAAAAATAATCACACCTCAAATTAACCTAACTGACTACAATACTGCCACTGTACTAAACAAAGGAATAAGGCAGGGGTTCTCAATTCCTGGGCCGCGGCCCAGCACCAGGCTGCGGCAGGTCGGCTGCCGGTCTGCAGCACAGTTGGCTGCTGGACTGGAAGTGACTGCAGACCAGCAAACCACAGCCCCCAGAGCTGGGTGGAGAGGCCGCGGCTCCTTCTGTAGGGCCCGCTGCAGCACAGGGTTTGGCCCAGCCCCCACCCAGGGGGTGGGGATCCTTACCTGTCTGCCAGCCAGAAATTTCAGCCGCAGTCAGCTGTGATTGCTGAGCTGTGGTTTGCTGGGCCACGACCACTTCCAGGCCATTGTTTGCCAGACAAACTTTGAGAACCCCTGAAATAAGATCATTTAAGTACAAAGGTGGGGAAAGGGGGAGGACAAGAGGAAACACTGCTGAGAGAGGCAAAGGTGTATTGAAGAGATCAAAGGGAATAAACAAACCCACTGAGGCATATAGGAGTTATAAAAACTAATCCAGATAATGGATTAAGAATCCAGAGACCACATTTAACACAATCCAGTCTATGGATGATTGTTCCCTACAGTTTCATGTAGTAGAAACCAGGCTTTATTGACAAGCTTCCAGCAAACCCTGTATCAGCCATCATGCATGTCACATTTCAACATCACCCACGAAGACAAATTGTAAGACATAAGAATCGTCCCCAATGATGACACACTTGTTTCCACTACACTCCTGCCTTGTTCTTGCACACAACTACCTTATTTTCTCACATAGAACACACATTTTTGCCCACCCAAAAAGTCACCCCTTAAATGGGTGATTAGGGCGATACTAATAGAAGTCCTCCTTCCTGCTCCAAAACCAACTGCACAACACAGCAATGGCATGTCTTCCACGTCACTAATCAAGCTAATCTTTCTTCAGGCAATTTTGCTGTCTGCTGGCTACTCCTGGTCTCTCTCCTCCAATTTCACAGTCTTGCTACTTTTTAGCTCTGTCCCTTCTCTCTGCAACCATAACTCTGGAAAAAATCTTCTCTCTTTGTTCTGCCTTCCCAAATAAGGTGTATATTTTATTCCAGGCCATGTTTTATGTGAGAAAATATATTTCAGATTTGGAGACTCCTTATGCCTATAAATGAGGTTGTTACAGGATCCTGTAATACCAGGGTACAAACTATACAGGAATGACAGTGTAGGTCATACCAGTGGGGGAGCACCATACCTTCCACTAAAGACAGTACTGAATCAAACAAGAGTAAAAATCTTAGGCCCTGCCACATGTTACATACATTGTACAATTAACTGGTTAATTGTGCAATAAATTTAGAATAGCCAGACCTTCGAAGTAATTATCACATGATAAAAATGTCCATCCAGCTATAAAGAGAGCCAACCAGCTACAAAGTTAGTGCTTGAAAAATGTATGACAATTTTATTGCTGGTTTCTATCCAGTCTTACTTTGAGCATGTGGCAAGGCCCTTATTGATAAGAGAAGTGACTCAGAAGATGTGTGTAGATCCAGAGTCTAAATAGGAAGAGTTTAGTTTTGGGGGTGTGATACTGACTACTTGACTAGGATCATGGTACTAAGAAAGAAATGCTAAAGGAGATGAGAGGCTACAAAAGCAGAAGACAAGAATACAGGATGACCTAAATTATCATTATATGCATTGAATAAATCTCATTTAAGAGCATGTTTAAAAGTACATATTGGAAGTACAA